GGCAACGTCAGCATGGAAGAGAGATTTGTATCGCGTGCCACCAGAGGTTCTCTTCGCCTCGAGTAAAATAAATACGAGCGAGAATAAGGCGAAAGATACAGAACCTCTGGCAACCAGGGTATGAATATGTTTGACACTGTAAAATAATAAAGGAATCCTATCTTTCAAGTTAAATACGATATTTTGTGCTTCTTTCGTTTTCTGGGAACGATGTTTTCAATATTTTGTCAATATTTTGAGTCATTCTTTTTGAAAAGCATTATTTACTACCCAAGTGGTAAATAATGCCTCAGATTTACTAGTCAACTAGCCAATCAGAACGCGCGAAAGCTTATTTGATATGCAAAATTTATACTATATATATTTATACTATATATATTTATACTATATATATATATATATATATATATATATATATATATATATATATATATATATATATATATATATATATATATATATATATATATAGTGTGTGTGTGTATTATATAATTTCCATACCCAGCGCAAGCAGAAAGATGTTGTCTGCCGCGGCTGGGTGTTGAACCCGCGACCTTCGAATTACTAGATCGACGCTCTACCAACTGAGCTACACGGTCAGACGGATTTAAGACTGGAAATTCTGAAATATATACTGAATGTCATAAACATTCTCGTTTATATTAATTCAGCATCGAACAATACTAGTTCTGCAAGTGTTATGTTAATCGTGTTATTGTACACCCTGCCGCGGCAGACAACATGTTATGTTAATCGTGTTATTGTACACTTTGCCGCGGCAGACAACATCTTTCTGCTTGCGCTGGGTATGGAAATTATATAATACACACTCTACACAGCCAGAAACGCGCACGTCGGAACAGATCTGCAACAGATCTGTTAAATCCTGTTGTCAACAAGCCGATATCTGGATGCGTTCGCTCGCCTTGTACCTGTCTGTTCTGACAGACCTGCAACGGCCTGTCAACAGGTCTGTTACAAGCTGTTGTGACAGAGCTGCTGCAATGCTGTTTTCAACAGGTCTGTTAAAAGCTGTTGTGACAGAGCTGCTACAATGCTGTTTTCAACAGGTCTGTTACAAGCTGTTGTGACAGAGCTGCAGCAATGCTGTTTTCAACAGGCCTGTCGCAAGTTGTTGACACAGAGCTGCAGCAATATATGCTGTTTTCAACAACTTGCGACAGACCTGTTGCAAACCGAGGAAAGCGCCTTATGAAGCTTGTGTATCCACTATTTTGAACAAAAAACGGTCAAACAGGTTGCCATATTTCGGTTGTAGTGTTTCGTGAAATAGAAGTTTGAAATATAAAGTTTTATAAACAAACTTGCGAGATAATTTTTATATATATGAATATAAAGTTTTATAAACAAACTTACGAGATAATTTTTAAATATGAATAAAGTTTTATAAACAAACTTCCGAAATAATTTTTATATATGAATATAAAGTTTTATAAACAAACTTGCGAAATAATTTTTATATATGAATATAAAGTTTTATAAACAAACTTGCGAGATAATTTTTGAGCAAAACAGCCGAAAAAATACGACAAATTCAAGAAAGGTTCTTATCGTAAACAATTTTCAAAATTAATTGTCTTTAAATACGACCGAAATATGACAACCTACTTGCATATTTTTCTTCAAAACAGTACATACCATAACACAAAGCTTCAATAAGGCGTCTTCCTCGCTCGCAGATTTCACTTGAAATTGGAAAGAAATTATATAACGAATTTCATGTTCATATCAACAATGACGAACGTTGCAGTGAACACTCGGTTGTTCATATATTGACAATATTGTTCATTTCTTAAGCTCTAGTAGATCTTGTATTCTCATTGCCACAGTTTCTTCAAAAATCAAAACAGCTTTGAACTTGTTTGATTTTGTTTGAGGCAGTTGATGAAATTTTGTTTGGCTCAAAATTGAAAAACAACTAAACATGATTACGTGATTGATATGTTTGTAATATTTCGCCCAATTGCAACAAGGGATGATGACGTGTGCACACGCGTTTATCCAATCGGACTAAAGAAATATAGCGATAGCACACGTCAGCAAATTGGAATTTGGATTTTGGAAATCGGAACTTTTTAAAAAAAAATAAAACAGCGGCTTTTGCATTTTATAGTAATCAGAGAATAGATACTATGGACTATAATCTCTCCTATGTGATATAATATCGCCACCAATGACAATGATTAAATGAAAAAGTGAAGCCGGAAGTGTCCATTTCGTGCGATTTTATATCTCTTTACTCACATTTTCGGTTTGTTTCCCAACAACAGGCTTGTTGAAACTTGTTGTGACAGGACAAAAATTGTTTGTTGTGGACAGGTTTGTCGCAGGTCTGATAACACAGTGTAGATAAGACATACAGAGACGTAACTGACCGTTGTAAACACTGCGGAAGATTACGTTATCATGTACCCACTTTTTTTCATGCGACCGGGCGAAAAATAATCAACTGCGCGTGCTCAGCAAGTTTAAAGTGAGTCGTCATCAGGTCGTCATCCAATCAGATGCATGCATCTAGTAACTTGCCGAGCATGCGCACAAAAAAAGTGGGTACATTAGTTACGTCTCTGTATGTCTCTACTCTGTGCTGATAACAAGCTTGCTGCAGACTTGACAAAAACAACTTGCGACAGGTCTGTTGGAACAGGTTGGAACAGACCTGTTGATTTCAACAGACTTGCTGCAAGTTGTTCTATCAGACCTGTTATGTCTTGTTAGTAACAGGTTTGTAGCGGGTTGTTTCAACAAGTCGCTACTGCTCTGTTGTCAACAGCTTGCGACAGGCCTGTTCCCGCAAGCCTGTTACCGCCTGACGAAACCAACAGACCTGTCGCGACTTGTTGACAACTTGCCGCAAGCCGGTAAAATCAACAGCTTGCGACAGGCCTGTAAGATTTCTGGCTGTGTAGTAGGCCTTTCCCGATTATGCTAGCATAATTTTCAGCATAATTTGGCTTAACTAGCATATTTTTTGCATTGTTTTCAAAAAAGAATGGCTAGCATAATTTAGCGTTTTCCCGCTAAATTCGTCTGCATTTTAGTTGTTAAAAAGCAAAACTTTTCATTTTTTGGCGTTCATGCAGTTTTAGTGAGCTTAGGAAAACTATATTTCCTGTTTTATTTCCCCATAAAGCCAAAATAAAGTATGTTTTCCTAATTTAATTTTAGTATCTGTGTATTTCTGTGTATCTGATAATTAGATACGGTCGTACGGAAATACAAATCTGAAAGTGGAAGCACTGGTAATTTAAAAAACAAGATGGCGTCACAGAGCAACTTACAGTTACAGCACAGAGACATACAGATGCTTATATTTTTAAGGTGTTTTTTGGCCGCCATGTTCTTAGCCAGTATCTGCACATGCGCAGTTTACATGAAAAGGCGGCCTCTCTTTACTGCACCGGTTAAGAACATGGCGTATTTTTCAAAAAAGGGCTTACGCTGACATCAAAGGTGCCGGAATTAGAGAAGCCTATGTATGTACTTAGACTGCGGTTACAGGCCACGCAAGGAAGCACTAACGAGGCAGGGAATAGGCCAACTCCTGCACAAATTGCCCGAAAGCGATCGAAAAGTACATGTTGTTGTGCCTTGGCACTTCGGTTATATCCATTTCTTTTAATTAAAGCCGAGCATTTTTTTGCAACCAAATGAGCATAATTTTGAAAAATGAGCATAATTTGAGCATAATTTTCGGAAATAACAATCATTGCTATGAGCATAATATGCCAGTTTTACTAGCATAATCGGGAAAGGCCTAACTGATAGTGATGACCGTACGTTTTATTATCGGCCCGCATTACACGCAAATAAAACGGAGAAAGGATATAGATTAAAGCAAGTGTACCACATAATATTTCATGTCCTCAAAAAGTTCCCTGTTTGCATTTAATAACGTCATAATAATCCACTTATCACGTCTATAACGCCATATAACAAAAAATAAATCTTCAGACTCAGGAACGGATTTATATATGAACTCCATATGCACGCAGACACGGCTGAACACCCAAATACACAGATATAGATTTAATAGATTTTAAATGCCACATAAAAAAATGCTGGCATGCAATATACAGCTGTTATGCGGTCGAACGTTGTGTATATTCAAACGGTGTGTAAAATGTGGTAAAATTGGGAAAGGTGCATATATTCAAAAGGTGCGTAGCATAGAAAGGTGTGTATATTCAAAAGGTGTATAAAATTGAGAAAGGTGTGTTTATCCAAAAGGTGTGTAAAAGTGGGAAAGGTTGAGGTAGATAAAGCTTTGCTGTTTTTAATTTAACTTATATTATGTTATTTGTTGTGATTTTGGAACAGTTGTGCTCGACTGCTCGCAAGTGCCAAGTATGCTATCAAAATACTCATTTTATATATATATATATATATATATATATATATATATATATATATATATATATATATATATATATATATATATATATATATATATATATATTTTCGGAATAAATATAAAACGTCCGATTTTAACTTGGTTGAAATTCCACTAGATGAAGCTGTTAAATTTGAACATGTCCCAAAAATAATGCTGTCTAATGTCATGTCACTCGTTCCAAAAGTTGACGAAGTTCGCGAATTTATTCACCGGAATCAAATCAGCCTGGTATTTATCACAGAGACCTGGCTTAAAGCTTCTATTCCTGACAGCGTGGCGAACATTCCCGGTTTTCCAATAATACGTAGGGATCGAATTAACAAATCCCATGGTGGGGTTTGTGCATACGTTAATAACCGAGATGTTAAATATAAACAGATTTTAGAGTTATCTTGCTGCCAGGAGCACGAAATCCTGTGGCTGCACCTTAGACCTACTCGTATTCCACGCAAGTTCTCATGTATTATCGTAGCTGTAGTATACCACCCCCCTGGAGCAGATGATTATTCTATGAGAGACCATTTATTCCAGTCATTAAAAAAGGCAGAGTCAAAATTTCTAAACTGCGCACTTATTGTTGCAGGTGACTTTAATCGTCTTAATGTTAACAGAATCAAACATCATTTTCAACTGAAACAGATAGTTCAGACTCCTACCCGCAGAAATGCGATTCTCGACATCATCTTAACTAATCTGCACGAGTATTATGAAAAACCTCTAATAATGCCCCCTTTTGGACTATCCGACCACAATACTATCATTTCATCTCCAAAGGAAAGAGCTAAAGATCTAATCTCTAATGGCACCACCTTTAAGCGTAATATTAATCCAAGTTCCAAACGAGCCCTGGGAAGATATCTAAACTCGATTGATTGGCCTCAAATTATTCCATCTACTAATGATTGTGATCAGTTATCGAACATGTTTCAAAACATAGTCCTTACTGGGGTTAATATATTAATGCCGATGACACGATCAAAGAAATGTCCTGTCGATGCCCCCTGGATAACGAACCATTTCAAATCGCTGATCATTGAAAGGCAGAAAGCTTTTTCTACCTATGGCCCTGACTCGAGCAGTTTTAAATCTCTTCGAAACCAAGTAAATCGAGAAAGGAAAATCTGTAAATCAAACTATTATAAACTCCGTGTACATCAAATGAAACAAACAGACTCCAAGGAATGGTGGAAAGAAGTAAAGCGTTTAAGTGGAATGGCATCTACTAGATCTAGTGATATTAGAAATATAATAGATATTGAAAACCTCGAACAATTATCTGAGCAAGAATTAGCTAACAAGATCAATGAAGCTTTCTTGGATCCCTTATCTGTATATAAACTGCCCAGCCCCCTTCTTCCTTTCGAGCTAGAAGTTAACAACCCTGAGTTTTTAGTAGTCACTGAAGAAACAGTGTATTCATATTTATCAAAGCTGAACCCTACAAAAACTTGTGGTCCTGATGAAATATCAAATTGGCTTCTTCGTGATTATGCAGCTATATTAGCGTTCCCAATTAGTACCATCTTAAATGCTTCCTTCAAGCAACAACGACTTCCATCGATGTGGAAACTAGCCAATGTTTTACCTATACCTAAATCTAAGACAGTTCAAATCTTAGAAAAAGATCTCAGACCTATCTCACTGACCCCGAGCATATCCAAAGTAGCTGAAGAATGTGTGGTAAATAGATATATCAAACCTGCGGTTCTGAAATCCATCGACTCAAATCAATTTGGTTCTATTCCTAATTCTTCAACCACTTTTGCTTTAATAGACATGTTACATCACTGGACCTCAATGCTGGACGGAACAGGAGCAACTATCCGAGTGTTCCTATTTGACTATAAAAAGGCATTCGATTTCATCGATCATAGTATCCTAAGGATCAAGTTAGGTGCTTTAGATTTACCAACTAGTATCATCAACTGGATTATCGACTTTTTATCGGATAGATATCAAAGGGTTAAGCTGTCAAATAGTTACCTCTCTGAATGGGGCCAAGTACCGGCTGGTGTTCCTCAAGGAACCAAATTAGGCCCTTGGCTCTTCTTAATAATGATTAATGATTTGAAGAAACATAGTGAGAACTTATGGAAATACGTTGACGATACCACGGCGTCGGAAGTCGTATTGCAAGGCGAGCACAGTGAAGCTCAACTGATTGCAAATGAAATTTTAGATTGGTCCAATATCAATAGAATGCAATTAAATGCTGATAAATGTAAGGAGATACGAATTTCTTTTGCACGGAATCAACCCGAGCTTAACCCAATTTCAATTGAGAATCAAATCATAGAAGTTGTATCCGATTTTAAAGTGCTTGGTCTTAACATTAGCAACAACCTTACGTGGAATAAACATATCACTGAATTAGTGAAGAAAGCCTCCAAAAGGATATATTTCCTTATTCAACTTAAGAGAGCAAAAATCCCAATACAAGAACTAATCACATTTTACATAACCTGTATAAGATCTGTGTTGGACTATGCTGTCCCGGTTTTCCACTACAGCCTACCCAAGTATTTAAGTCAAGATTTGGAACGAGTCCAGAAACGCGTATTTGGAATTATTTATCCCCATTTGAAATATGAGGAAGCTTTAAATCTCAGTGGAATTGAACATCTTTCTACTCACCATCAAAACGGCTGCAAGAAATTGTTTAATGCAATTATCAAAGATTCTAATCACAGTCTACATTACCTCTTGCCGCCAAGGCATAACTCCATCCACGACCTGAGATCTATTAGATCTTTTGACGTTCCAGTTTGTAAAACCAATCGGTTTAGTAATAGTTTTATTATGGCATCGAGTAGCAAAACTGAATAGGTTTTACTCTTCATTTACCTATTTTATATTCTTAATAACTTTTGCATGCTTATTATAAACAGACACTTTTGACAATTTAGTTAATTAATTATAATACTTTGATATATCTCAAAACTCTAATTTTTAATAATTTTTAATTGTAAGTATAATACGCAATTCAGCTCATGGCTGCAATGTATTTACCATTTCTAAATAAAGTATAAAAGTATAAAGTATATATATATATATATATATATATATATATATATATATATATATATATATATATATATATATATATATATATACTCAAATTGAAACGGAGTCATTGTGCTTGCACTGATTATATATTGTCTCCAAAACTTCAAAACTACAGTACATTTTGTAAATAACATGAAATATATTTAAACTATCAAACAAAATTTTCATTAATGCTATTGAAATTTAATAGGCTACAACGAAATAGCATTCTACGGCGATAATTTCAATCTGTCATAGTAATTCACCGTTTCCACGGGTTTTTATATATACTTTCAAAACGCTACAATAAAGCTACATTTTTAGGAAATAACATTATTTAGTTATATAATCAGTGTAAAGAAAATGGAAATCCAACAGTCAATCGCTTTCGATGCAACCTTGACCTTGTTTATATTACCGTCGCTTGAAACTATCATAAAAACATTGATTATTCGCGTGAGAATCTTAAGTTTTCTTCTTTTGACATAATAGCTATTTTTCAATAAAAATATTGATATTAACTATTGAATCAACATTTTAAGTTTCAGGCTAGTTATAAGCGCTAGCGCTTCATAACTTTTCATGGTTTTGATCATAGAGATTATAAATAACACTTTGCGATACTTTTACGAAAACGACATGAAAAATCGAAGCGATCTAAAAACATATTTTTAAATAATTAACTGTAAATTAACTTACAATGATTATATTCACAATTATAGTTATACAATCCAGTATTCACTGCTTGCAATTGCAATCTCAGATTCGGAAAAGTCGGTACCCCAAAAATGGCGACGTGAGAAAGGCTACTTCGCTCTGTGCAACAGCCGTAAATTATTTTTATACTTATTTTATATTGCAATGTGGTGTTATCTCTATGGTTTTGATGGCATGCAACATGTACGCACTGCGTACCTATTTTTATAAATGTTGTCATGAACACAATGTTACCGGCAAGTACAATTTGTTGCTGCGAGTCGAAAGAAGATTTTTGAAGCTTGTTATTAGGCTAAAATGATTGGGAAAATAAATAGTTTTAATCACTTTACCTTTTTATTATAAATTGTCTTGTTGAGCAGAAAAGCATCTATTGCATCAAAAATCAGTAAAGGCTTTTTATGGTGTCGTTTTAACAGGATGTCAGCCATGCTGGGATTAAAGCATTGAATTAAAGTAACAGATCTCAAATCTAGTTCGCAACACTGGAGATTTTAGGAATTTAATTAAAAGCATCGACCAAAAATATGTATACGTTATTTACCGTTGAGGTCGGGCCGTACTTGAAAAATATTTTCACTCGGTCTCAGAAGGGTCCATCGACCTTTGGTCTCGGTCCGCTTCTGAGACCTTGCGGAATTATTCTTCAGTACGGACTTCCCAGCTGGTAAATAAGGTACTATATTTCTTAAAATTATGTCGAAGGAGAATAATCGATTTTTGACTTTTTTTTAAAGTGAAGAAAAAATATCAATTATACCTGTTTTAAAACCATGGAATTTTTATAAAGGCCGGACAAAGACAAATGTTGAGCTTTATTCTAAGTATGCTGTTACCATGGTAACAGACTTTCAACACAAAAGTAAATTTCGTCTTCCAATAAATTTCGTCTTCGTGTCATGTAAAGTGAAGAAACAGGGGTCTCCTGGGTACTATGGTGTAGTATAATGCAAAAACCCTAGGGACCCACCTTAATTAAATATACTTAAAACTATATGCTGAGACTAGATGTCCAAAGTATCAGAATTTTGATGCTTTCACATATTACTAATGCTGATTATAGATTATAGACGTCCAAAATATATCAGATATTCTGATAAATTTCTCTCAAATGCTCATAGCTACAGCAGAAATATTCCAAAAATTAAGTTCATGTATAATAATACACTAGCCAGGGTACTTAATTCAGTCCTGCTCAAAACTCTCTTCAACCGTCATATAAATTTGAACCAGCTCAATGTTGTTGCACGAGAGTTGACGCGAGAGTTTATGCACGCGAACACGCGAGAGCGACACCCTTGTTTGAACGAGGCTTAACTTTATTTAACTCTGTCAGCGTTCTCCCAGACGCTCAGTAAGGGTCAACTTACAGATGTCGATAATAGATATATTATACTAGTATACTTATCAGTAGTAAATGCTGACTTGCTTCTTAAGTTCGCGATATATCAAAAACGGCCTCATCTTTCCATATTAACAAACTCAGTCATGGCCAGAAATGACGGACATTGTGCAAGCGTACCAGTCGGTCAGCGGCTTTTCCGTTTATCCACAAGAATTCCTAATTATCCTTTTACGACCTATCAAAGCATCCGGAATTTCAAATATTCGCGTGGGTGTTGTTTATAAAGCAAAGCATGAAGTATGCACTCAAGTTGTGGCCTTTAGTCTACCAGACTCAGGATTTGGCTAAGCAATGACTACGGGAACGAAAAGAGAAGCTTTCGACGAGTATTTTGGTACCAAACATGTAGCAAGGCAATCAATATTTCGAGTTTGGCAAGCGAATGGAATATCACTTTTCGACCGCGATGTAATATTATAATATGCATATTAACGCACCGGCTTGCGAATTTCAAAACAAAAAAGCAGAGCTTTTAACGGGTGTAACAAAATAATAAACGGCGGAAGGCAAGGCTATGCTATTCTTCAAAATAAAATGATTTCAACAAATTTCGATAATTGAATATATTACGAGATATAGCCTTTTGAGCGAGAAACCTTTATAGATTCCTATGTAAAGTGAGGTAAAATGTTCTAATATTCAATCGCAAAAAGCAGAGCGAGTATGCAAAGAAATGAGAACTTTTTTTCTTAATGTGTTACTATACGGCCGCTACTTCTGGAACCAATTTCAACAAATATTCAAAGATTTATATATAGCATGCTATATTGAAAATACTCCGCTCGCCTGATAATAAACATAGAGCATTGAGCAGCCATTGTTGCGTGGGGGCTCGTGGTAACGTGAAACCTGAGAAATGAAAATGTCCGTGATTTCTGGCCATGTTAAGTACAATCGTACGCTCCTAACCCGTCGTAATTAACTGTAAGCTCAACACTAAGTCACTAACTTTTAAAATTGTTGTGACGTCATCATTGTAAATATTATGAATAAATCGTTGCTTCTGTCACAAATATATTTCTATGATCTTCACCGTAATGACAACGCATCCCTAACCCAGGCTTTATTGTGCGCGTAACGTGAGAAACTATAACCATAAACTATATATTTCTTAATCTTTCTATATTCTACCGTTACTAGCACTCTAATATCTGACTAGACATCAGAAGGACAATAGTATGGAAACTTGTACCCATTTTTGGAACCTTTTCACTAGACCACAATATCAGCCAATAATTATTTTAAGACCACACAGATTATTAAATGCTTTTAATTACAAGTTTCAGCCGAGAGCTTATAAGACAAAAGATTCGCGCGACAAGTTTTAACATAGTACTTAAACGTAACTAAGCCTGACCACATACAGGGTGTCCCAAAAAACCCAAAACGATTGAAATATCGTATTGTTAGAATTTGAATGCCCCAGCACTAAGCTGAACCCACATGTGCATAAAAGCTTAACATAAGTAAATTTTACGCATAAAGAAACTGTTTTTAAAAGAAGCTGCTTTAAATTCCCAAGAGCAGAAAATTGTAAGCTTTACAAAGATATTTTAATAAATTTATTAATAACTAAAGTCAATATTTAAGCATCTTTGCGTTCAGCTTAGCGCTAGGGCATTCAAATTCTAACAATACATTATTTCAATAGTTTTTGGGGTTTTCTGGGACACCCTGTTTTACTGTCTATAAGCATGCAGTTCAACCAAATAATTCACAAACTGAGAATGTATGCATCAACAGCTGCGAACAATGATACCGCAGGCATATGTGAACCAGGCTAAAGTAAAGTGCTTATAGCTGATATTTTACTTCGCTTGAAAACAATTCTTCGCCAAATTGCCTTTCTTTTGAATTTGCATGTTTAAACAATGCACATGCATACTGACATCATATTGTGTATACAGTATATAGTGTACCATGCTATTTGGCAGGCAAAAGTACATTTAATTAACCCATGAAATAGCATGCAAAGCATCGTTCTGGCAGAATGCCATACTAAAGGGGGGGAGGGGGGGGCAAGGGAATTTTCGTGACCCGTGAATAGCAATTATTCGTGCTTCGTGATTTGAAGAAATAACATTCCGTGAATCGTGATTAATATGCGTGCCGTGAATCGTGAAGAGCTAAAAGGGCTAGCTATAGGGTCTTGAATTTTCCAATATTTTACCCTAAATTGTGAATGTTTACGCTTAAAACTCGACCCAAATTTAATATTAACTCATTTGCTTCCCGCGGTTGCCTTTCTTTAGGTTTCTTCGTTTCATCGTAAACGTCGTTCTCGTGTACCTTCGTACCTCTTCGTAGACTTCGTGAACCATCGTAAGACGCTCGTAATGTTTCGTAATGCCTTGCAATGATTGATAGTCCTTTAAAAGCTCTAATGTTAAAGTCAGTAAAATGTGTTTGTGTTAACATCGATTTCTGCTGCCTAGAAAATCGTTAAATAGTTTCAGACTTTGTTTATACGCTTCTGTGTTTCTAAATATCGTGAAAATGAAATTTTGTTTTTCGTGACTCGTGAAATCTAAAAGTGATCTTCGTGATTTCGTGAAGAGACCCCCTCCCTTGCCCCCCCTCCCCCCTCTCCTATAGTCATAGTTGGCAGTTGCCGAACAACAGAT